GAAAATTTAATTTTCGTCATTTCAAATGCCTGCCAAATCTAAAAAACAAATTGCTGCCAAAAACCGTGAGTCTGTGCGACGTTTTGACAATTCCAATATTAAATTCAAAAAAGATATTGATTATCTAATTAAGATTTGGTTTCTAAAAATTAATTCCTATAATAGAGCCAATATTTGCAGAAATTTACGGCATATTTTGAATAGGTTTCTTATTCTTGTCATTTATTACCTATCCTAATCTAATATATAGGCAGGTATTTTATTTGGACAATTATTCAAGCGATGATACTATGAAATTGGATATTAATTTTATTAAGAAAAATAATTGGCTCGTTAAAAATGCTGAGTGTTATTATGCTCATGGTAAGGATTCAAAGAAGGATGAAATAGCTTTGAGAGAAGATCTTGTTAGGATTGGCCATAAATTAATTGCCAATCTAACTCATGAGCTTATCCACCGAGTAATAGTAAGAATTGACAAAATTAATGATGCAGATAAATATCATAGTGATAGATTTCCTTTTTGGTGTGAACGTGTTTATGCGAAATTTAATAACGCTTTAATGAATTCTTCAGCTGTTAATTCTAAATTTCCTAGAATTGAATAATGTCTTATTTTGTTTGTTCCTTATTTAAACATTTTTTATTTGTTCATTTTTCAAAATTAATTAGTGTTTTTGATCTATTTTTTAAATTATCATTATTATTCATACATTTAAAATTACAATTATTAGAATGTGCAATAAATGTTTTAAAATTTTTGCTATGCATATAATAAAAAGAATAAAGACCTCAAAACTTTATAATTTTTAGTATTTTTTTATTCGGATTATCAAAATTACCCATTCAATTACATTAATAATTTAGGTTGATTCATCTATCAACATTTAAAACGCTTAGACATAGATAGTTTATATGGTCTATAAGGAGGAAAGAGAAAACAAAGGGTTTCTCTCTTAAAACACCAAGGGATTTTCTTTTTAACTGACCGCCGATCCTTCTTAAGTTTTGTGCTTGCCAATTCTGTCACCTTTGTAGACATTAATTATTCCCTCACCTCCCCAATCCCTCAATGTATTTGACTACTAAAACACTCCTCTAGCCACAGGCTATTTGATCTCCGACCCCCCCCCCTATCGTTCAGATGTTTAATTATCTACTATAATTCATATTTAATTATCAATTATTGATTTTTATATAATGTAATTTCAACTGATCGGTTTACTCAACCCTCCTCACACCTTCAATAAATTTATTTACTTAAATCTGCTTTAAGGGTGTTGTGATCACTTTTACAATTATTAAATACTACTTAATCACTAGTTAGAATAATAATTACTAACTAAATACTAATTACATTCTTTTATTTGAGAGAGCCTGTAATATACCGCCAACCCTCCATAAGGTTTTCGTTGTCCACTCAAATCCTCCTATATAGGCAGAGACTAGATGCAATCGACCGCTCCTGTTTAACTACTCTCTAACGCCTCCCTCTCTCAACCAAGTCAACAACTTTTAATTTCATTAAAGGGCTATCGTTCAAAATTATATGTCCTTTAATGGAGAGGGTTAGACGCTGAGTTTCATTTGTGAAACTATTACATAACAATTTAATTAATTACGATAATTATTGTGTAATTAATAATAATCGTGCTTATATTAGAGAGGGGTCATTAAGCAGGTGTTTTTCTTTGATGACTAATACGAAAACGATTTAATTAATCACGATAATTATTACAGATTAATATATAATAATGGGGGTTTTATTAAAGAGGGTAAATTAGGATCTGAATCTCCTTCTAAACCAGCTGCAATAATCATTTAATTAGTTACAATAATTGTCATATAACTATTAATTATGGTACTTTTATTAGAGAGGATTTGCGCAAACCTTTTAGCTGACCGACAAACCCTTTTTCTAACTTTGACTACCAAATTAAAGCCTCTTGTGGGAATTGACTAGTTACTTTCAGGCATTCCGTAGGCTCTGGTTAATTACCTTCGGACGCCTCCCTCTCTCAACCAGATCAATACATTTCACTTTCATTGAGTAAGGGTTATCGCTCAAAATTACTAATTATGTGTCTTTTAATGAAGAGGGTCATTTGAAAACTATTACAAACAAATTACGATAATTAATGTGTAATTATTATATAATTAGTTTTTATAGGAGTAATTAGTTTTTATAGGAGTAATTAGTTTTTATTAGTACCATAATGATTTAAATAGTTACGATAATTATTACGTAATCATTATATATTTATTAATAGGTTTTTTATTAGAGACGATTAATTAATGTTTAATTTACCGCTCAACCACTTCGACAAACCCATATACTTTTACGATAATTACTATTTAATTATTAATTAGGGGCTTTTACTAGTGAAGATTTAACTCTTTACTTTTCATATAACCGCCAACCATGTTCAAGCTATGCATTGAATAATTAAACTCCATACATAGAGTTTAGAGAAGGTTTAGAGAGGCTATTAGAGAGCGTTTACCTCATACCCTTTCAATTAACCGCCACCTCTTCAATAGACACTGGTTAATTACCCTCGAACCCCTCCCCTCCGGCTCCCTCAAAAGATTAATTAGTTAACCCACGACGGTGGCTGTCTCTCTAGACGGTGGCTGTCTCTCTACGACGGTGGCTCTCTCCCACGACGGGGGTTTGTCCCCTTAAAATCGACCACTGCCCCCTTCAATTCAAACAATTAAATAATAATTACTTTTTAGTTAATTAATAATTATTATTTAATTTTTAATTACCCTTCCTCTCCCATTCAACCCACTTAATTAATAATTAATTAATTTTTAATTATTAATTACTTTACCCTCTCATTAATTATTTTTAATTATTAATTACCCTTACCCCTCTTTCAACCACTAAATTAACTAATTTTTAGTTAATTAATAATTATTAATTAATTATTAATTACCCTTCCCCCTCTTTCAACCCACTTAATTAATAATTACTTTTTAATTATTAATTAGGGGCTTCTATTAGAGAGGTTTTACCTCATACCCTTTCAACTTACCGCCACCTCTTCAACTAATTGCTCTCGGACCCCTTTCCACCACACTCACTCAATAGGTTTGTCCACTCACACCCTCCTTTAGGCACAGGCTATCCTCTCTCGGACCCCTCCCCCCACGACTCCCTCAATACCTTTTAATTAGTGCGCGAAATTTTACCGCGCCCCACGACGGTCCCTGTCTACTTACTACTGACAACCCTACACAGAAGGAATCTTTAACATGCGATAGGTTCGTTGAGGGTATTTTCAAGCTCAGGGGAGTATTTTGGAGTGTATCCCTCAGAGGAGGTTGCCTTCAGCCTCAGGAGTTCTCCACGTTCTTCGAAGTGGTAAACTCCTGTGTACATAAGTGGTGAATAAATATGAATATACCTCATTTTCTATAATCTCTTGATAAAGTTGTTTGACTCGATCACTGGAATACTCAAACTTGTCAAGATACGAATAGAAATTGAAACTTTTATCGCCTTCAAAATGCCCAATAGCTTCAAAAGCATTATAATAATTGCGAGCATTTAAATAAAGCTCATGCCAAATGCTTTCCAAATATATCCGCCGATAAAAATCAATTTGCTCGTCTATATCCTGTTTGTTTGTCAAATATGTTTGGTTAGCTTTTCCTTGTTTTCCATTATTTTTTATTTCGTTATCAGACAAAAGGGAGATTGAGTAATGATGTTGGTAGATGTTATTGTAAAATGTATTATATTTGGATGAAGATTGTAATTTTCTAGTGATTCTCTTAAATGTTAGAATAGTAAGATTTAGCATAAGTTTAGCCATCGGGCTTTCGCTCACTCCATACTGGAGCTCTAATATGGAGCTACAGCGGCGACGATCCTTTTTTTCTTTATAGATCGTTTAACCCGATTCCTAACGACTGCTATTGAGTTCCTCACAGCTGCTAGGGAGTTCCCCACAGCTCCTCACAGCTTAGTAAATTAAGAAAGAATAAAATGATTAGTTATTTGGTGGTTGGATTGTTAGGCGGTTATGTTAAAGGACTTGTCCGAGACTTGTCAAGGTCAATAGGACAATAGCAGTTTATTTCAAGTAGAAGAGGTCATTGGACGTAGGAGACACCGGCTTTTAGACCCTTCATCATATATTGCTGGAACTAACATTTTTCGACTCGGCTCGAGTAGCTCCTTCGAATGATCTCTTAGCTTAATCAAACTTTACCCTATTAGCATTGGATTTTCAAAAATCTGACCCTCGTCTCATTAGAAATAACAGAAATGCCGAATTAACCCAGAAAACGTTTTAATTACCTGATTTTTAGCTTCAAGCTCAAGATCCGCCAGAATCTCAGGCGCAGGCAACTCAATTAAAAATTCCGAGTCCTTGATTAACTCAAAACCTTTAGGGATATTTTTAAACTCAAAAAGTTTATTTCTCTCGAATTCCTCGCCAGGTATCGAATATTCATTATTATCCTTTTTATATTTTAAGAAACATTTGAATATTTTATTTTCGCCAATTTTTGGTTTTAAATAATTAAATTGGCGGGTAGAATGGAAATCATTATTTATTGCGAGTTTGACGACATTTGAACACAAAATGGAGTTAAATAAAATTGTAAGAAGGGGAATAATGAATAAGTTGAAGTAAAGCATTATATCAACTTTAAATTGGTAATTTAAATATTTGATAGGGTACCCCAGGCTCTGCTTAGCTCTGACCCAGATCTTATATAGCTAAAACGCTGATTCCGATATTCTCAATCACGCAAAATTTGCGGTCTATGAATATCCTGGAAAAGTAATCGGAATAATTTGAGCAAGATATGGCCGTTGACTAAAGAAATTATAATACAAAATTTATAAGAAGGTTTTTTCGAAGTATTTTTTAATTATATTTATTTTAACAGTTGAATTACATATAATTTAAGAAAAACTTAAATTTTAATTAAATAATTTAAACGGCAATTAATAAGTATATAATGTTGATTTAATCAATTATAAATGAAAGAAGGGTGGAGTGGAGGAAGGGAAGGAGAGGGGAGGAGAAGAGATAGCTATTAAATGGGAAGGGATGTAGTGAGAAGGATGAGGGGAGCGGGAAGAAGGGAGGGGGAAGGAAGAAGGATAGAAGGGAGGTAGGAGAGCGGAGATAGGGAGGTAAGAATAGCAGACGGGAGGGGAGGAGAGCAGACGGGAGTTACAGTGGAGATGGGCATGCAAGGATATCAGTGAAATGAGAGGGGATATAGTGAAAGGAGAAGGAGAGAAAAGCGGGAGGTAGAGAAGGGGTAGAGAGATATGGGAAGAAGAGCAGACGGAAGGGGAGTAAGGGGAAGAGGGGGGGGGGGAGATGGGCAGGGGAGGGTGTGAGTGAAAGCTTGCACTTAAGTTAATCTTGCTTTCTTAAAAGGGCATTACCGCCCAAGCTTTTTTACTCGTGGCAGATTTTAAAATAATAAAAATGCCTTTGAAGTTGAATAAATTTAATTATGAAATGCGAGAAAAAATAAACAAAAGATGTTGTGAAATTTAGACTGGCTTTATCCCTTTCTCTATACAAAATATAATGTCTGATAAAACATTAAGTTAAGAATTCCAACAGATTTTATTTACGGAGAAGTTCAAATTTGCCCGCTCATCTGGATATACACGATGAATCCTACTGTAAAGCATATAGCTATTTAATTCCTAAGGCTGAGCAGTAGGCGGCGTGGTGTAATGGCTAACACATCAGTCCGGTCTACTGAAGATGATGGTTCGCTCCCAGCCGCCGAATAACCTTTTGCACTAGCTAAAGGAGAGAAATAGCTATAGCCTAGCTGCTTTACTCTACCTATTGTCAGATTTCTTGAAATTTTACGGCAGGAATAACTACAACAAAATTGGAAATTGAAAAAAAACTAGGAAATTTCCAAAAGTCGGGTTTCAAATTTATGCCGGGAGGGTCCCTGGTATTCAATGCGTGACAAAAAGATATCACAACATGTTTTTCAACATAACTCATTGAAAAAATGCCTTTACATTTGAAATTTTTTTATTAGTGGAGGCAAAATTTTTATTGAAATAAGCTCTCAAAATAAGGCCTCAAAATTTTGAATTCTACCAAAATAAAACCGGTATTTGTCTATAACTCAAAACCGAAAACCGAATTTTTAAAACTTTGTTTTTAATTTATGTAACAAATTTAAAAATATAAAAAAACAATTTAATAAGATAAAACAAATTTAATAAAAAGATATGTAAAGATTTTTAAAAATAAAAGATTAAAGTTAAAGAAGAATGGAAGAAGTTAGGCGTCCGGGGAGAAAAAAAATTTCCAGATTGGCTTAACAAAAAAGCCAGATCAGGAACAAAAAAACCCCAGACAAGTAGTTGGATCTCACTTTTGAATACCCCAACATGTGTATTCTTCATATTCATCATTGATGAATACCAGGAATAGGATGTCAAGCCAACCGATAACACGAACCTAATGTCTAACAACCCTACCATGAATCCAACGACATAATAATTTTTCTAAAATCGGAAATCGGATCATCTAGACCCCTAATTTATGCATATAGTAAAGCGATTGGTCCCGTTTCCCAGTGCCTCGTTGTTTAGTTGTTGTAGGCAGAGTCGCGCATGCTTGCAAACATGTGTGAACTCCGCAGAGTATAGAAATAGGGAATATAGGGAGACGTCTTTCCTATAAGACTGGATGGATTGGCCGGCCGGCAACTCTGTTGGATGAATGAAGAAGTGATCTGCCCTTGCCTATTCCATTAAAGCTTATATGCACCAGCTATTCCTTATTGCTTTCCCAAGGATAAGTTAGTGGCGATGTTAAGCTTAGATAATTGGCGGCTAATAACTCTCTGGGTATGGCCGTTTGTGGCGTTCTTTGCCTTTTCTCTGGGAACTTCCGTTACTTCGCACAAAGTTTAGAGCGACATTATTGTTCACGTGATTTCAGGATGAACCTGGCCTTACAATATCAAAACCCACTTCAGTAATAAAATGGTATACATAAGAGAGATACCACTATAAATAAAAAGCAATGGATATAAAGGAAGTAAATAACATAAAAATTTGAATTAAGATGGCGGGATCATATTAGAAAAATAATACGGAGCCAATATCATCCATCCCATTGCAAAAGAGTAAACTTTCAACACAAACCAAATAATGGAAAACCAAGGTCCACAATTTTCTTCTGTTAATTGTCCCTCTCTAGCTATTCCTTTTCCTTTATCAGGCTTTGATGATGATTTACCATGTGAGTTTTTTTGAGAGTTTTTTGAGCGTTTTTTGCGAGAAATAGTACATCCACAACATTTAGGTTTTGGAGCGTCAACTAAATAGATTATTACATCGAGCGATACCAATAAAATTTTATATTGATGAATTTTCTAAGACGCTTACTAGTGAGTTTTTGATTTCAAAAATAAGGCTCCGTGGTTAAAGAAACAGAAAACCACTTCCCTATAACGAGACAAATTTTTTGAATATATATTTGTTTTTAGAATAATCGATGTACAGCGAGGCCAATGTATCATCAACGGGTACACCCCATTATATAACCGCCTAATATACTGCCGCCCATTATACCGCCGCATAAGTTTTTTATTATTTTGGCAGGGGATGTTACCAAGTGACAAAGGATGTTGACTCAATGACGCGGGATGTTAACATGTGACAGGGGATGTTGTTCGAACTTCCCCCTTCGACGGACCAACATCTCCCGTCACTTGTTAACATACCCCGCCAAAATAATAAAAAATTTTTGCGGCGGTATGATGGGCGGCGGTATACTGGGCGGCGGTATAATGGGCGGCGGTATACTGTGCGGAGATATAGTGCCCTGCTTCCACTGTAACTTCGGTCATTATCGAATCCTAACGCTCAGGGACCTATTCCACAAAGCGCATTGACATTAAATGTCGACAGAGACCCCCCGCCCTTTGACCTCCCGTAATTGAATCAACATCTCACGTTTAATCCCGTCATTGAAACAACATCTCCCGTTTACCCCCCCCCCCGTCAATGGACGGGTGGTAGAGCGGCAGCCTTCTCATCTTTTCTTAACTTCATTGTATTGAGTAAGAACAAGGAAGTCTGTGACAAGAGGGCTTGAAAGGGGCAATCCCCCTCATCATCTCTTAACTTCACTGTATTGATTAAGAGCAAGGAAGACTGTGACAAGAGGGCTTGAGAGTGGCAGCCCTTCACCTTCTCTTAACTTCATTGTATTGAGTAAGAGCAAGGATGACTGAGACAAGACCTCGTCAGCGACATGGACGACGCTCCCAACACCGGGCGAAATATTGAACACCAAAATTTAGCTCCGGCAATTGTGACACAATTGTCGAAGTATTTATCTCTCCTTCGTCATCCAGCATTAGTCGTCATTTTGATTTCGATAACCAAAATATTATGCACCGATTACTACATCGGTGTTTTTTATTCTGTTCTTGACTTCCACTAGGTTGGTTCCCAAGGTTGAATCATCTTGTTCGTTAATTTGAGCATTTACCATAAGAGGGAGGTGTTCAATAAGAACGAGAAGAAGTTCCGATTTCATTGGTCCTTCACCAGTTTCTAATTCAATTTTTACCACCTCAGAATAAGATGGAGTGACAAGATCTGGTGGCCTACACCTCTTAATTCAGATTTTCTAATATATGAGGCATGAGCCTAATTCTTTTGCAGACTTTCTGAAATCAGAATTCAAAATTAATTAAAAATATTTATTTTAATTTAAAAATAACAGTCGCTGTAAATTGTAGAAGAAGGCTTTTGTTTAAGAAGTTTTGAAGACTGATTTGGAGAAGACATTATTTTGGGGGTTTTGAGAGGGATAAATGGGCCATTCGGCCTTGGTTTTTGTGTGCTGCAATCCTTTTTTAGTTTTTTATTTAATCCTTTGCCTCTCTTCTTTTGGAAAATTTTATTTTTTATTTTAATTTTCCCTTTCTTTTATTATTTTGCAAAAATCAGCCCATCTTCAACTACTTTTAATCCTCTCAAACGCCTACTTATCTAAATCCCTTAAACCCCTTCAAATCCAACGATAACTCACTTAATTTCGTCAATTGAGAAATAACCTCAAATTTTTGATAAGTTTCTATTTAAAATAAGTAAATTTCAGAAAAAGCTAAATTTTAAGAATTTTTAAAATTTTTAAAATTTAAAAAATTTCCCGGAAACACGTTTTTCTACACCCGCACCCGGTAGAAAAAACGGGTTTCCGGATTTTCGGGGTTTATCCGGCCCGGGTTGGATTGGAAGAAAAAACACGGAAAATGTCACCTTTATTTTGCTGAAACTCCTGCTGACCACATAAACTCCAATTTCTTACTTTAAACGGTTTAAGCTCTTTTAGGGCCAGATTAATTAATAATTTCTAATTAGATTTTAAATAATTAAAAAAAGATTTTTAATAATCGTTGTAAATTAATTTTTCATTTATACATTTGTAATTAAATTTACTAAATTTTACTATTATTTACTAATTTTTTGTCAGTCTTTAAATTCACTTTGCTCTTAAAAATCTATAAATAAAATCCACAATAAATAAAGTGATTACTGTTTCTTTCTGTCATTAAACTTTTACTCTCTAGACAAATGATTTCTTCTTATATTCCCCCCCCCTTCCCAACCCTTTAAAATCTTTCAAAATTGTATTAAAATCTCGTATAAAATTGTATGCATATTCAAAGAGCCTTCTTCATTGAGTGCCTTCTGTCGCTCACTCTCTAAATTCACTCTATCTTTACAAAAGCTTAAAAAGCTTCACATAAACGCCTCCAAAATTTTAAAAATGGGTGTGGTATAACTTTGAATAATTTTGTAAAATTAAAAAAAGGGGGCGTCTTAATTCATGTATACATAAATGGAGGTAAACACTCATTTAGCATTCATTTAATTACTAAAATCGAATTTCAATATAATATAGCCTCTAGGGCTAACCAAAACCTACCTATGATGAGTTGTACACTAAAGTGTAGGTATTGTTTAGGGTTACCCCAAACAGTGGCCTAACCAGACGTTTGGCATCTCGGGGATTTTTTTTCGAGCCAGCGGCCTTCGCCTGCTTTTGATGGTTTGGCTTCGAGCCATTGGCCGTTGACATTTTATTATAATTTTATTTATTTAAATTTAAGAAATGAAGCTGGCAAGATGTCTTTTCATTTCAAAAACATTTTCCCAAAAAATTCCCATCTTCACCCTAATTTTCATTTTGTTTTCCTTCAAAAATATTTTTTGTGATGCCCAGCACAATCTCAACGATTCAATACGATTACAAGTAAAGAATTTGTTGGAAAAATATTTGCCGAAACAATCCGG